TGTGTATATATATATATATATATATATATATATATATTCTCCCAGAGCTGTGTCACTGGCACCTCTCACAAAATCCCAGACTTTCTGAACTGGAAGGGACCTCAAAGGCCAACATGCCATCTGGTCCAACTTGTATCATGTTATGATATGTACAGCATGTCAGGGCTAAATTATAGCATGGTGTTATACTAGGCATATTCATTCAATCAAAAAGCATTTTATTAAGTGCCTACCATCTGCAAACACTAGGAATACAAAGTCAAAATTGAAACCATCCCTGCCCTCAGGGAGTTTGCGTTTTCCTAGGGAAAGGATAGCTATACGTATGATGTATACATAATATGACCAAAATGAGAAGGTAGTTATAGGAGGAAGGGGGTTTCAGAGGGCATTTCATGTGAAAGTATACCCTTGAGCTGAGTTTCAATGAATATAACAGCTATCAATCAAATAAGTCAATTGAGTCGATTGATTAGTTAACCAATTAATTATCAATTTCTCCCTTTACTCCCTTCAAGACTCAGCTCAAATCTTGCATGAGATTCTTTCAGCTTCTGGTGACTTATCCCCTGAGATTCGATTTATCCCCATGCATCTTTTATGTGTCTAGTTGTTTCACATTATCTCCTGTATTAGAATGGAATCTCATCGAGGTTAGGTGCTATCTATGTCTTTCTTTGAATCCCCAGGGCTTAGCATTGTGGTGTTTTACACATCGTAGTCATTTCATAAGTTCTTATTGACTGACTGGATATAAAATTTTGCTAAGAACTATGTTAAATCTGAGAAGGATAAGATGTTGTCCAAGCTATCAAAGGGCATGTAGCCTACTTGGAAACTAAAAGCAAACAAAACACACGCACACGCACATGCACACGCACACACCAAAAATAGATAACAACCACAAATATAAGAACCAATGAAGAAACAAGCTCACCTTGCTTGTAAAGTGAACAGATGGGAATGGATGACCTCTAGTCTTTTGACTCTAAAATTCTATGATGCCATGACCCTGACTGTTAAAATGTGGTTTTGATTTTACTAGAACTTCAAAATTGAAGATTCAGTGTGGTCTTGAAGGTGAGGACAGATTTTAGAAGGTCTTATATTATAGAAGCCAGTCAAATGTGCTTGAATTGGACTTTGCAGACAATGAGTAGCTATTGCAGATCATTGAGAAGAGCAATGCCTTAATGTCAGTACTGTTATCAAGGAGAATCTTGCAGCAGTGTATAGGCTGGATTGGAATACAGAGTAACTGGATATAGGAAGATTAGTTAGGTCAGAGATGTCAGATTCATGGCACATCCACATGCCCACAAAAGTCCTGGCTGAATCAGATTAAAATGTAATTGGGAAACATTTAACAAAATAAATGAAAATTCAGTGCAACATAGATAATGCTTGTTTGTAGTTTTCTAAGTCAGTGTGTAGTTCATAAGGATCAATTTCTATTTGAGTTTGATATCATTATACTAGGTCATTGGGTCCAGAAAGCTGGAGGTGCTGAGACTCTGGACTGATATAGCAAAGGGAATAAAGAGGAAGGTGGAGTTCCAAGTAGAATTTTGATGGAAGAAATCATAGCAATTGGACTTGGATTCTAAGAAATGTCCAACCATAAATAATGAAAGAGGAAGATAATGACCCTCATGTATCAGGCTTGACGTGATATAAGCTTGTTGACTGGCATAAGTGAGGTTATGGCCTTAGAATCAGAAGATTCAAGCTTGAATCCTGGCATTGACAGTGTTTGTGTGACTCTGCACAAATGAGCCTCTTAGCCTCTCAGTTTCCTCACTTGTAAAATAGTGACCTACCTCAAAGGGACATTGTAGGAAGTGGGCTTTGTTAACATTAAAGATGACAAGGTAATAATTCTCTGCCCTGAGGGAGACATAGATAACTAGATATATACATGGTGTCCCAAAAGTCTTAAAGAAGTTTTAAGATTAAATAGCATAATAAGACTTTTGGAAAGCCCCTTACAGAAGAGACAGGTGATAATCTCAGAGGAAAAGGCATTTTCAGCTGGGGGACCTAGTAAATACCTGAGGCCATCTTTGAACTCAGCTCTCCTGCCTCCAAGTCTTGGAAACTGTGACATAGATAGGGAAAGATCGAGGGAAAAGAGTGTTTGGAGAGATCCTACATTATAATTTGGCAAATCCTAAAGAGACAGAACACTATCCAAAGAAAGTCTTCTTATAGGGAGAGCCAACTGTAGTGGATTGACTGGGGCTTGGTTTCAGGGTGCTGACAACACTTGGAAATCTTCAGACTGAATAGAACAGAGCTTAGCATCTGGTTACACTGAATAAACCCATCGATCAGGTCTCAAATGTTGAGCTTGGGTGACCCGTCTCCCATCCCACTTATCCTAGAAGGGACTTTTCCCTAATGTCTCTGTCTCTAGGTCTCTGTCTCTCTGCCATAGGACTATGTCCTCCCCTCTCTTAAGAACTGAGGGTATTTTTTTTTCCTTTGGTGCTGTTTTCCTCCCCTGGGAACAAACATTTCTACTTAAGGCTCTGCTTGTAGGCAGTTGGAAATCAAAATCCGGGTCATAGCTGAGGGCTCAGAACTGGTGACCCTGGGAGTTTGAGGAAATCAGGCTAAACATCACCATGTGCCTTATGATCGTATCATAAGACTGTGTGTGACTGGCTCATCCCTCTCTGATCTCGAGAGGTTCAGCCTGTTGATATCAAGGAAGCAGAGTCACCTGTAGCCAATAGCCAACAACTTTCTGCAATCTGTGCTACATCCCCATGTTCTCCCCGCACAACTTTGGGTATTTACATGTTGTTCATGGTTACAACTTTTGAATAAGAGAATTGTAGGCACTTGGGACTCATCCCTCCAAGCTCTCCCCAGTACCTGTATCAACAAGGCAGTTATCCTTAGAGAGTTTCCATTGAGACTTTACTAGGAGTGTAGAGCAGTAAAGATGTTTGTTCGATTGGAGTGTAGTGGGTGGGAACATTTACAAAACTATGTCCTTGTGAATCTGTATTCCAATCAGAGATTGGAAAACATTTGAAGTGCTTAGCAAACCTTAAAGCACTCTTTAAATGTTATTTCTTATTATTTAGTCAATTGCTCAATCAACAATCAATATGTATTAGGTACTCACTTTATGCCAGGGCATGCTAAGGCAGAAGTTCTTAATCTTTGTTGTATTGTGGACCCCCTTGGCAATCTGGGGAAGCATATGGAGCCTTTCTCAGAATCATAGTTTTAAATAAATAAAATAAGATGCCAATGATTATAAAGGAAACCAATTATATTGACATAATTATCAATATATCAATATCTATCTATATATTTATATATCTATATATGTATAATTATATCAACATATATCCATATCTATATTTTACAGTTCAATGACTCCCAGTTAAGTATCCATGGCATAGTTAAAGATCTATGTTGGTACAGTTATACATTTGAGGTGGAAGGCCCGGAGCTGACATTTCATTAATATAACAATCTTGCAGAAAAAGAAATCCTCTCTATGAAAGTAGGTTAACACATTATTGGTAACATACAGTCTGATAGCTTTGCCTATAGCACTGAGAGGCTGTGACTTGAACAACGTCCTATAGCAATATGTATCCCAAGTGAGATTTGAACCCTGGTCTTCTGGCCGCAAGGTCACTTTTCTCTCCATGATGCTACACTGTCTTTATACTTTTGTTGTCTTTCAACTGAATTCAACAAACAGTTTCTAAATGCCAAGGTTGTACCACAAACTGTGCTGGGCTTCGGGAACACGAAGACCAAAACCTTCAAACAGTTTACATTCTGTTGAGGGGAATACACGGTATTTACATATTTCCACCTGAACATTTTTAAGTGGGAGAGACTGCTAACCACTGGAAGCTGGAGAGGATTATGTGTCAGGTGATGCCTCAGTTGGGCTTGGAAAGAAGCTAGTACATGCATTCTATGTGTTGTCTTTAAGCATATCTAAATGTATGTAACTTTATTAAATATCCTGAGAGACAGTCATGGCAGAAAGCTGGGTTTGGAATCAGGAAGACCTGGGTTCAAGTCCAGCCTCAGACACATACCAATTATGTACCTTAGGCAAATCCCCGGGCAACTTCTAAGATGATTATTTCCAGAGAAGCTGCCAATCTGCATTGGTAAAAGGAGCTCTGTCATGGATTTCCCTAGACCAAAGAAATCAAGAATCTAATTAACAAGCAAAAACAACAACAGATCGTCATGGAATCATAGGGTCCTAGAACTAGAGTTGAAATGGACCCTAGAGGCCATTCAATCCAATTTTCTCATTTTACAGATAAGAAAACTGAGGACCAGAATAAGTAAGCAACTTGTCCAGGATGATTGCCCAAGTAGGAAGTGGTACAAATGTGATGTCAACCTAGATGGTGAAGTAGAAATGCGTTGTTCTTTCCATTGTGCAATGCCACTCTGTATAGAGTTTCATGGATCTTTGGATCCATCTTACTCATTTCCAATAAAAGGCTTTTTTTGGGAGGAGGTGGTTTCAAAGAGGTTGGTGGTCCAAGAAAGGCATGGAATGGAGTTGAAATTAGAGAGGGGAGAAAATAGACAACTGGATTGAGGAAGAAGCCAGCATGAGAAAGTGGAGAAAAGGAAGATGGGGGGAAAAAGAGATTCTAGAAGTCATTGAAGAGGACTGAAAGAACCATTGAAATACTAGCAGTAGGATGACCTCAGACATTATAGGCTAACTCCGATAAACATAATATTCCCAACTTCAGCCTTTCTGTTTTTCCCATTATGACTGCATCATCGTTTTCCAGTTTCATTGCCAAGGGCAAGACAATCATATTTAAAAGGAGTAGATGCTGGGTACTCAGATGTTGTGTGTGTGTGTGTGTGTGTGTGTGTACAGATGAGTATGTTGACCGGTTGACTTTCACCTTGCTCTGTATTTGACCTGATGAGCTGGGAGCTGGTGGTGGCCTTGCTTGTCCATTAACGACTCTTTTTGTTTGCAGCAGTCCTATGCACCAGCTCCCCACCCCATGGCACCTCCCAGCCCCAGCACAAACAGCAACAACAACAGCAGCAGCAACAACAATAGTGGAGAACAGTTGAGTAAAACCAACCTGTACATTCGAGGCCTTCCACCCGGCACCACGGACCAGGACCTAATCAAGCTGTGTCAGCCGTAAGTGCCTTAACAATACTTAGTAAGCCTTGATTTCCCCCCAGAGTGCGCTTTTCTGATCGTTCCCCCTCTGATACGCTCATATGTTTCTGGTGGCAGCAGCAGTTTGGCAGGACCCGTGGACTCTGAGCTCGCTGGTATGAGTGAATGATATAACAGCAGGGAAAACGAATGGATTTTAGGATGAAAGAAAAGAGACCCAGTGTCCAGAATCGGCAAAGCAATTGATGCTCTCACTGCGGTCTGCCCGGGACAGACTACTCCTGGGACCGTGTTGAATTCTGGGCACTAAGTTTTAGAGAAGATATTTATAATTTGGAGAAAGGATTGAGATGGCTAGCCGGGATGATGAAGGGCCTCAAGAGGGTGCTATAGAAGGATCAGTAGAGATGGCTCGGTGGACAGAGTACCGGTCCTATAGTCGGGAAGACTTTTCTTTATGAGTTCAAATCCAGACTCAGACACTTACTAGCTGGGTGACCCTGGCTGAGTCACTTAACCCGTTTGCCTCAGCTTCCTCATCTGTAAAATGAGCTAGAGAAGGAAGTAGCAAACCACTTCAGTGTTTTTGCCAAGAAAACCCAAAATGGGGTCTCAAAGAGTTGGACACGACTGAACAAGGACTGAACAACATTCTCTAATTATTTGAAGGGGTGTCTCTTGGAAGACCCGTTAGCCCCAGAGGGTAGTAGGAGAAACAATGGGTAAAAGGCAAAAAGAGGGAGATTTTGGTTTTATGTAAGAGGATGGGGGAGGAACAACTTCTTAACAACTAGAAGTTTCCCAATGTTGAATGGGCTACTTTGGTAGACAGTCCCACTGGAGGTCTTCAAGCGGATGATACATTGTTGGGTTTATTGTAAGGAAGATTTTTCTTCTGTGTAGTCTGTGTATCAAGAGTTCTTGGAGATCTCGCCACCTGAGAGACTTCTGAGCTTCTTTGCATAGAAAACACCTAGCCTTAGGAACATTCACCCTTTTGATATAGTCTTCCCCAAGGAAGATTATGCACTCTTAAGCTAACTCAGAGTAGGCAGTGGTCAGACAGTCAACAGTCAGTTTAGTGATAAGCATTCATTTAAAAATAAGCATTTACTAAGCGCCTACTATGTGCCAGTCACTGTGCTAAGCACTGGAGAGAAAAAAGAAAGGCACAAAGATAATACCTGCCCTCAAGAAGTTTGAAGCCTCATCAATTGACGTGGGTAAAGACCAGCACCACCCAAAATGGACCTCATACAGGGTTGATTTCAGGATAGGGACCTACTCGATGCTGACGGTCTGGTTAGTTGTATGCATATTTGTTGTTGTTGAGTTGTTTTAGCTGTGTCTAACTCTCTGTGACCCCATTTGATGTTTTCTTGGCAAAGATACTAGAGTGGTTTGCCATTTCCTCTCTAGCTCATTTTACAGATGAGGAAACTGAGGCAAACGAGGTGAAGGGACTTGCCCAGGGTCACACAGCTAGTGAGTGTCTGAGGCTGGATTTGAACTCAGGACCTCCTGACTCCAGAGCCAGTACTCTGTCCACTGTGCCACCTCGTTGTCTGTATACATGTTTGTCTATATACAGTTTTGTTTTGTTTTTTTATCGCCGGGTACTAAAAGATTGTGAAACAAGCTCTTTCTTGTAGCCAAATATCTCACATAAAGGCTAGTTCTCAGAAATGGATATGACATAAAAATGTCCGAAAATATCAACTTCATAATAATAGCTGGCATTTGCATAATGCTTTCAGGTTTTCAAAGCTTTCCTTACAACAGCCCTGAGAGGCAAGTTTTGAAAGCACCATTTCCCCCAGTTTGCAGTTAGGCCTTAAAGATTAATAAACTTGTCCAGGGTCACACAGTTAAACAAATGGCTGAGTTAGAAATGAACCTAGGTCTTTTCTGAATCCCAGGATCTTTCCACTAACGGCTCTTTCCCCCTCATGCCCTTCATAGAATTTGCCTTAATTAACCTCTGTGCCCCTGTCTAGAAGCATCCCCTGCCAGAAACACTGGGCCATGTAGACTCAGACAGAACCATGTGAACAAATAATTGCTATGTTTCTTGACTAATTCTCTTTGAATCTATACCCTAGCAGGACCAGTACTCACTAATACAGTTTACTTATGCCTGTGGAACCTAGCTGAGATTTGATTTTCATTGAATATGGCATTAACCTTACACGAATATGCAAATAACCTTATTATTTCATCTTACGGTAATGTGGAAAGAATATTGGCTCTCAAATTAGAAGGCCCGGGTTCAAATTCCACTTCTGATGCTTCCTGTTTTTGTGACCTTGAGGAGGTCACTCAATATCTCTGGGCCTCAGTTTTCTCATCTGTAAAATAACGCAGTTGGATTCTGAGGTCGATTGAGTTCTAGATCTAAATCTATGATCAATCAAGATAGAGGAGTCCTGGAATGAAAATTTGCTTCATCAATAGATCCCTGTCTGTGACTTTGTAGATCCAGCTTTGGAGTTGCCTGAGCCCCAGAGAGGTGAGTTGTAATCATGGCCTACAAATCAGTAAGAATAAAGTAGGCTGAGACTAGCAATAGTCTGAGTTTGTCATTTACTTGAAAGTGCTGAGTTACTAAACCAGTTGTCTATATAATTCCACATCCTAACATATTTATGATTGGAAACCATTGATTTCAAAATAATTAAATCATGTTAAACTTTGCCAGCTGTATTAGTTGAAATGAATGAGGTTTACCTTACCTTTGGCATCAGATTTCCTGCTAATATTTTAGCCAGTTAGGTTTAAAATGCTATTTCTGAGAAGAAAAGTAAGGTTTAAAAGCCACCCCACCCCCAAATTCCTAATAATTTGGAGTATTGAATGACTTGCCCAGAGTCATAGAGCTGGTAATCATCGTAGATAGGATTGGAATTCAGTACTTCCTGACTCCAAGCAAGTACTGTCCCCTGTAAGGTTAAGCTGCCTCACTTTATGACCCTTACCTGACAAAATGTTCCTATGGAGAATATTGGTGTTTTTGTTTTTGTATTTTTTTGTGAGTGTTGTATGTGTGTGTGTGTGTGTGTGTGTGTTTTGTTTTGTTAAAGGCATCTGAAATAGCTTGTCATAAAAAGTATGGAATCATTTTAAATCTGGGGATCACTTCTCATAGGATTCTCAATGAGAAGCAATGTCGATGCATTTATTTGTCATTTAATTGGCACTCAGCAATATTATTTTTGTAGATTTGGCAGGATGTTGTTCATTTGTTCTATTTCATTTTGGCAATTCCTTAAAAAAATCAGAGAATATTTATTTTGTTAATTTTCCAAAGGATTGCAAGAGGAAAACTAAGCAGACAGTATTACAGTATTTATTTGTCTTTGTTCTGGATTTTTGAGAATGGGAGTAAATATCCAAACAGGAAGTGGGAGATAAATTAAGCTACAAATATGGAATAATAGCATCTGTGGCTGGTGCAGTGTGTAGATTGGTGCTCTTCCCACTGGTCTGGAAACTCCTTGAGTTTTAAGAAAGCAGAAGGCATAAATATGAAGTATAAATGCACACTCTGAACCAAACTTATTATTTTTTTCAGAATTAAAGCAATAAGCTAAAACAAAATAAAAGGGAGGAATAAAGTTTCAGGAAAATCGGGCCTCTTAAAAGAGCTTAAAGATTTTGTCTTACTTCAATATGAATCTCCAGCTGAATTATTCATCTGATTTAAGAGATTTCGTCATGCAAATGCAGAGCAAATACTCTTGCTTCCCATGGATGTCTCTTTAAAAAAAATAGATTTATATTTATGTCAAGACCTTGTCTGTTTCTCTATCCTGGAAAATTTCAGACCTCTGACTGTTTTTCCTATTGTGTAATAGTCTCCTTGATGAGAAAATTTGATGTGCTGGAAAGAACTTTGGGTCACAGAGGACCTGGGTTCTAATCTTAATGCTGACCCTTAATGAGCTGTTTGACCCTCACCAAGTTGCTTTACATCTCCAGGACGCAGTTTCTTCATCTGTAAAATAAGTATAGGCTACTTGATTAAGAGAGTGTCATCTGGCTTCAACATTCTGCTGGTTGACTTTCTCTTTTTCTATGAATACAACCACAGAAAACCAAAATCCTTGAAATCATATTTAGGAGTCATTCTGCCTTAGCTGTTCCAAGTTTGTTGCTGTTAATGTTACATTGGTTTAGTTGTGTCTGACTCTCCATGGCCCCATTTGGGGTTTTCTTGGCAAAGGTACTGGAGTGATTTGAAATGTCATTCTCCAGCTCATTTTACAGATGAGGAAACTGAGGCAAACAGGATGAAGTGACTCGCTGTCTCTTAATAGCTGTCCAGACCATGACATTAGGTGGCATATGTTGTCAATGTATGCCTTTCTCCCAGTGTTGGGAGACTGGTCATAGGTCCTTTCCCTTTTTATAGAATACTCATCCTACAATGAATATCTGGCCTCTTGTGAATTTAAAGGGGGCCTCTAGAGCTGTTCACTGTGGTCCCAAGGTCCAGTTTAGCTCAGTTCGGAAAGGCTTACTGCCTGCAGATTTGTTAACTCAGTGGAAACCTGCTTGCTAAGGTATAGCAGAATCATGACTTGTGATGGTAGAACAAAGCAGGCACACTGATGCACTTGAAGAAGCAAGAATAAAACTTCACATAATTATTGCATTCTGATTTATCCCCACTCACTTTCCCAACCATTTCTCACTAAAAAACAAGCCTCTATTTGTACCCTTTAACTAACTCCCTCCATTAGCATCCATTTCCCATAATGTTTTGCTGCAAAATTACAAGTCCTTTCTGACTTCACTTTTTTCTTATTTTATAGGAAATGTAATATTTGCTAATATCCATGGTAATAAGATAATAGAAAACACAGAAGTACAAAGAAGGCATAGACATATTGAATTATCCTGCATTTAGTATACAGTGTTCACATTAATACTAATGAACAGCAAGAAAATTATATTAAAGAAAAAGAAATTAAGTTATTTCTCAATGTATAATCCAAGAGCAAAGGGATGTCATCTGG